TCATTGATATTTATTTATTTATTTAGATTCAATGTTCAACAGGATAAAACCAACTACAGAACAGGGACATACGTAACAAATTTGAAAAAACGCAAAAGGGCGGCAAAATGCTAATATAACCTAAAATAAATAATTATATGCCATTCCTTAAAAAACATGTTTTAACGTCACGTATAGAGGAAGAAAATATTTCAAGCTGGAAACTTGCCGAGTTGCACAGATCGCACATTCTGTGGAAAGGAGAAAATTTTAAAATATTCGTACGCGACGTAGAAAGGTTTGATCTACTCTTGAGATAATCCTGGAAACACCAAGGTTCAATTTTGATAAGAGGCCCGGATCAATAACCTGCTTATGTAATTAATGTAATTTGTGTACGTTATGCCTATTACGAAGAGTTTCAAGAATTTTCGTGGTACAGATTCCAGCTTTCTTGAATGGACTTGGTAAAACGGACTCCATATAATATCACCGTATTCTAATTTAGTTCTAACAAATGCGTAGTACATAGATAGCCTTTAAAGTTTCTTAATCTGTTAAGTCTCGAGACACGGCGGAGTCAATATGTGGAATGAAAGAAAGTTTAGGGTCGAAAGTGACACCTAGATCAACAAAAGTAGCTGGACGCTGAAGTACGATTTCATTGATTTAGTAATCATATCTGATAATATTACTTTTAAGTGAATGCGACATGATGGGATTTAACGACAAGTTATTATGGACACACCAGTTTTCAATACGCTTTACATGCAATGACAGGTTTTGGCAATCCTAAATACTATTAATTTTACAGAACAACTTTAGATCGTCAACCTATAACATGCAATTAACATCAACACTTTCGACAATGTCATTAATAAAAATATTAAATAGAAGGGGGCCTAAATTGCTGCCTTGGGGAACACCGGATGTTGCAACATATTCAACAGACTTGAGTCCACCAAATATAACAAACTGGCGACAATCTTTTAGATAAGATGAAAACAAATTGATTAGAGGTAATAATAATCCGTAATCATTTAACTTAGAAATAATTATCCCATGATCAAGTCTGTCAAATGCTTTCGAAAAATCGGTATAGACAACATCAGTTTGATATCGCAAGTCTAGATTTTCAGCTATAACTTAGGTGATGTTTGCCAGATTAGTAATGGTCATCATAAAACCATATTGCTTTGATGTTATACTGTTTTTTAAATGACTCTATAATCTATTGTACAGGAGTGTTTCAAAAACCTAAGAAAAATTGCAAAGGAATGAAATGGGACGAAAATTACTGGTATCTAACTTGTCACCTTTTTTGTAAATGGGTCTAAATCTGCATAACTTCCAGATATCATAAGGCACGTACACCGTAGAACTGTAAGGACACTCGCACATGTGACATATATGACAATATTGATTGATTCCTTAAAAGAAAAGGAATACTTTATTTGATGTGCTGTATAAATGGTTTTAGCTACGAACTACGTTTTTAGCGGTCTGTGTATGTAGCAGCCGAAATGGGTTTCCGTCGTTTCTCAAAAATGGCGACCTAATCTCTGTCGTATTTTGCAAAAACGCGGAGAAAAATGTCGCTGACGTTGGCCGACCGGCGGAAACTTATCAATTTCTTCCATACCGCGATTCTTTCCCGACAAATTTGATTAATTAATAATTGTTTCAAACTCGGAAAGAAAATGCGAGGGACAGCGTCGCGCCGCAAGCTTTCGATCCCTTTTAAAAGAGGACGAGATAATGAAACCGGCCGGTAATGGACGGAAATTTAATTAAAATGACAAATAGATGCGCGAACGTTCTTGGTTCTTCGCGCTGCAATACAATGATCGTTTACAGTTCCCGGTAACAATAAATTATTTCTCGACGTGCCGTTCAAGATATTTCGGATATTAATAGTTGAGCACTCCAGCCGTCTATTAGTGCGAGCGAATTGCTCGATAATGTTCCCGGAGTTCCCGGATTTATCCGGAGAAACTCAGCCAGTTCGGCAGTTTGATCTCTGCATTTTATTAACGTCGATTGATGAATATTTAAACAGCCGTTAAGTAGAATTCAATATTGCGGAACTTTCAGGTTGGAAAAATAACTGTAACTTGAACAAAATAACTAAAAGAAACGACTGTCACATGATAGCCAATGCGCAAAAGTACGCGCGGTGTGGACGGTTTAAAAGGGGTCTTAATTTTGAAATCTATGGGTGTTATTATACTATATGGATATTAAATGACTCTTTGATTATAAAAGTTGTTTCTCGTAAAATTATCTTCACTTTCTTTAACTTATTACATACAGGGTGGTGAAATAAAGATACATTTTTAAATACCCCTAAGACGCCTACAATATATAGTCGGTAAGATAAAATAGATTGTTTCTTCTTGCTTCCACTTATACTTGAACAGATGTTATTCTGACCTTTTATATTTATCTCAACAATACAGACTTGGCATTTATTAATTTAACTAGCCCATACGTAATAATAGATCAGGGTGCTCCATAATAATAGCATTTTTCCTGCCAGAATGGCTAAATACTCATAATTATCGCCGGTTTTTAGAAGAGGATTTCCCAAAATAGCCAGAAGAAATACTATATTGAATTAGGAACAAAATTTAGTTCATGCATGAGGGTGCACCTGCTCACTTTAGTATTGCATTAAGATAGGTAGGTCGCGGCGAACCTCAACCATGGCCCCCTAGGTCCTCAGATTTAAATAGTTTGGACTATCTCTTACGGGGGCATCTTAAAGGTCTGGTTTATCGCACACTGTAGAGTTGAACGATCCTATAAAAGCTTTCTGCGATTTAATAAGACACACTACAGAGCTGAAGCGTGTATCCTTCAAGGTAGGGGACACTTTCAACAACTTATCTAGTTTTTGTGTTCCACATTTTTTCAAAAAGGTTGTTAGTAACAGACATCTTGTTAAGACTTATTAATAGTAGGTAGTGTTTTTTTTTTGTTAATAAGAATTATATATTATTTATCTTGTTGTTTGGATGTTATGTTACTATTTACAAAACTTCTGGATTCCTCCTGATTCGGTTGATGTTGAGTCGAACGCAGTAAAGCTCTGAAGAAGCCAACAGGATAATTGGCGAAACGTTAGCAAGTTCGAATCAACAACAACCGCTTGTGGAAGTTTCTTTGAAAAATTAAGGATATTATGTTATTTCATTAAAACTGTAAAAGTAAAAAAAACAGTCTTCTCATTTTTTTTTTTCGGAAGCACACTAGTTGGTAACTTAAAATTAGATAGTTATTTTATTTTTCACTAAAAAAAGTTTTCGATTTAACCAATGCGGTAGCGACCCAATTAACCAAAATATCATTTGTTCATATACAGTCAGTGCCACGCCACGGATTTTCTAAAAAAAAATTAATGAAATTTGCATTTATGAGAAGATTTGATATCTTTTTTTTATTCCATCGCACGGTTTTCACTTAAAAATAAACACTAATTTCTCTGCCTGCTGTTATATTAACGATATTGTTAATTATGACTCTGCTGAAAAAAGGTTTTTATTTTTTTAATCGAGAATCGTACATCGGATTGAAAAAATAAAGAAATAAAATTTCTTTAGAAAGCTCTGGAAAAAATCAGTGGCGTACCATAAATGTCTGCCAAGATAAACAGGTGAAATTCTGAACTGGTATAATTTTTTAAAAATGCGGTTCACTAAATAATGCCTCTAGTACATGTGTTCCAAATTTCATTAAAATATCTAAAGTGGTATTACAGATATTAAAAATATATATATTATTTTTGAAAACTTAACCACCCTCCATCTCAAAAGTTAAGACGTTTAGGACATATGTTCATATGAAGTTTTCTTTCTAAAATAGACCCTTAATTATTGCCGTTCAATTAGGAAACACCCTGCATATATAATTTAATAGGAAATTGTTTAAAATACTTCAAAGTTGTTAACATTAACTGCCAATAATGTGCTTGAACACGTAATTTGTAAAAACGAAAATTTCCTATTACACCAGATACATATTTCTTTTTTTACTATTTATTGGAACAAAAAAAAGTGAAACATGGTTTACACTTACAATTTTCTAAAAAGCTGTAGAAAACAAATAGCTGCCATCCCAATACCTCGTTATCTACGACATACTGAAGTTAGTTTTCTGTATTTTAACAAACACTGGGCAGACACAAACTCTGTTCGCTTTATAAAACAAGGCAATGTTTCAACTAGACGATATTAAAGATCCTAAAAATTGCCACCCCTTTAAACTATCGGATCGTGCAATATTATTTCTTTAATTTATCGAAGAACCTTTCGCTTTTATTGGTAAGACCCTATAGTGTAAGTTTATCCTGGATATTTCTATGAATTCATTTATATATATGAAAGCAGTAAAATACATGAGTAGGCCCCATTGAAATGTAATTTACTAATAAACACGTGGCGGTAAATTCTCCATCATTGGAAAATGCATGTTTTGTACAAAACGGATAAAAAATACATTTTTAACTTTGACATTTTAAATTGCAGCAGCAAAGTTTGGAACAATTCATAAAAATTTCAAATAATTTTATTTATGATTTCGAATCGAACATCTTCGTCCGCTCGATGAAACGAATATACAAAATTGTTAAAACATACCCATTAAAACGAAATCCGTGTATACACCATAGCAGCGAACAATGTTTCCACCAATGAATATTGTTTTGCGCGCGTGTGTGTGTGTGCGATGGACACGTTTTTCATATTAAAATATCGTCAATAAATATAGAACCGCTTCAGATACAAATTTGTCCGTTTCAAATTTCCCACGCGGAGCCAAAATTTCGAATAATTAATAAATTCTGTTTCCCGTTAATGTATTTTAGTGAGCAACGAAACCAAATATCGAAAATGATTGCTCGCCCGTTCCACGAATCGTGCGATGGTAAATACGAAATATTAAATTCCCTATTCAAAGCGTTCCTAAATATTGCAACGCGGTGCAAAAAAACGGTCCATATTAAATCTAAATTGAATTCGCAGGGCCCTAGCGGAGCAAACAACGACGGGCTGACCAAACAACAGCTAGATTTGATCCATCAGATAATGGAACAGACCCAGCGACAGTCCCATGGGGTGACCAAAGCGATCGTGAAGACCGTCAGTAAACAAAAAACCACGCCGACAAAGGACAGAACAAAAACAGCGTTGGTGTCCTCGACCTCGGCCACTTGGTCGACAAATCAGGTTGGTTGGTTTTATGAGAAATCTTCCATTAAATTTCGAAATTCGAACGAGAAAACACCCGGTATAAATCACTATGCAATATAAATTATTTTAATAACCGCTAGTTTACAACAAATCTGATAATATTAGTAATAGAAAGAAAGCAATAAAACACTTTATTAACCCTTCAAGTTGTATAGGGTAAGTCAACTATAGAGTAAAATTCAGTATTTCTTTAGTTTCAAAAGTTACGAGAAAATTCTAAATACGAAAGTGGTAAACATTGTTTTCCAATTTTTTAATTTTTCTAAAATAAATACTAGTTGTCACACTTGCAAAAAAAATTACGATAGCGCCATTGATTTTGAAGGTAGATCATTCATATTGGATATTAGCGTTATTCGAAGATGACGTAAAAGATATATGGGACCGAATTTGAATAAGATGCTACAGGGTGTTCAAAATAAACAAATTTATTGGGATCATTTAAAATTCAAAAATCTCGATTTTCTTTTTAATACTTTGCGATTTATTTTAAAGACATATACGAACTAGACAGTGTTTAATGGAAGGGTTTGATGCTGGTGGCAGTATTGAATTGAAGTGAAATTTTACTTGGCTTTCGCAATGACCCCTATAGAACAGTACAGTGTTTATGATATTTTTTGTGCTATTTTGGGTCTTGTAGTTTATATGGTTTTCCAATCCAGTAGTTATCCGGACCTTATTTTTCACGTTCCTGAATATATCTTACATCACCAATTGCTGAGCGTAAGTTACATGTTGCAGGAAATCATGGATCAGTTACAATATAATGTTTATGTCTTCGACATGTCATAAACAGATCTTTAACTGTAATTACATGTTCATATAGGAACGGATTTTTCACTAAAAGATCTAAAATTACGGAAATGTTTAATGGCTAATGAAATATCTGCTTCTGTTTTATCCTCCGTTAATTTTGGATCAGTAAGAAAATATTTTACAAAGCATTTGATATATTTGTTTTAGCATTTATATTCTTCAAAGCAAGTGTAAATCCATGGAAGTAGTGCTGCTTTTCTGGCAATTTTATCTGTTACACCGCTATAGCCGCGATATATTAGTAAACATTTTTTTATTATTTTCACAAGGAAAAAGTAACAGAACAGAGAAAAGGTAATTTCTTCAGGTAAGTATACAAAAGGAATCTATACATACCACACAAGCGTATGGTCAGGTCGAGAGTAAGTATTGTTTATTTTCCACATATTTTCATAGATAGGCTCTGCTGATTGATCTATAGGGAAATCCATATCAATTCGTAATATGGCACACAATAATCTGTCTTTTAATTTTTGAATTTGGTTCAGCTGATTTTTTGCTTGGGAAATAGCGTGGTCAATTATGAATATATTGTGCGGGTCATCTCGACATATAGTAAAGTAAATTTCCTGTTTGAGCAATCAATTTTCCAAAAAGAGATTCCCAAACATGTTGCGCTACTCCAGATGATAATAGTTGATCCTTATGTTTGTTCCCAATAACCCAATAACCACATTTGTTTGATTGATTTGATAACGACACATTTAATATTGGGACCTTATTAGTTCGGAGATGACGTCAGCCCGGAAAAGGGGGAAAAGTCATCTTAATAAGAACAATCTACTGAATAACTTTCTGCAAAGCTGAATTGTCCAGGAAAGAGTAATACCAATAACAAATCTCATGAGAGTGATATTGGACCACCGATCACCTACACATTGACTTTTTGACTTTTGTTGTTGTTTGAAACTAGGTTGTTAGCTGGGAACAATTCCTGTAAAGCAATCGTAGTCACTTCAACAAACATTTGTGTGTGGTTAGCATAGAAATCACGATAAAAATGATACCCTCAGGTGAAAAAAAAACTTCCAGTTAGAATATGGAAATACTTAAAATCTTAATTTTCATAATTTTGTAGCAAATTACGAATATATTCACTGGTTATAAATTGTATTTACAGTATTTTGTTATTATGCTCCGTCAGTAGAAAGGTCGTTGTGAACTCTAAACACCTTGTGTTATAATTTCGTTATCGATTTTTTTCGAATTGCCAATTTTTGTTAAGAATCGTACATTTTCTACATTTTTAATTTCGGTTTATATATTTAAGTACATTAATTCGTTTTTGAGAGCGAAAATAACTCACGACCAATTTTTCCAATTACTACGCTGTTGTATTTTTGTCACAGGTTTATTTCGATTGAATATTTAATAATTTAACGTAACCTTATTCCCGAGCCTTAGGGCCTTGGTAAAAATTTATATATATATATATATATATATATATATATATATATATATATATATATATATATATATATATATATATATATATATATGAGGTGTTTTTTTTCGATGTTTGTTGTTGTTTTATTGCAACTTTAAGTTGCAATAAAACAACGATGGATTATTCGATTGATATGAATATTATTTATCCGAAAGATAATCTTGTGGCATTACATTTTAAATATGATTTCTGGCATATGACCGCCACGGCTGGCGCAGATGTAGTCCAATCTGGACGTTCAATTTTCGATGACTGAACATTTATGGCCGTATGTCGGCAATAACACGGCGAATATTGTCTTCTAAATGGTCAAGCGTTTGTGGCTTATCCGCATAGACCAATGACTTTACATAGCCCCACAGAAAGTAGTCTAGCCGCGTTAAATCACAAGATCTTTGAGGATAATTCACAGGTCCAAAACGTGTCTTTCAATAAATCGATTGTGCCACGAGCTGTGCACGACATGTTGCGCCGACTTGTTGAAACCACATCTCCTGGACATCATGGTTATTCAATTCAGGAATGAAAGAGTTAGTAATCATGCTCTATACCGACCACCATTGACTGTACCGTTCTGGCCATCATCGCTTTTGAAGAAATACGGACCAATGATTCCACCAGCCCATAAAGCGCACCAGACAGTCAACGGTGTTTCGACATACACTTGAGGATTAGCTTCGCTCCAAATGCGGCAGTTTTGTTTGTTGATGTAGCCATTTAACCAGAAGTGCGCTTCATCGCTGAACAAAATTCGCTATGAAAATCGGGAACAACGGCAATTTCGCTTTGGACCCATTCGACGAATTTACGCCTTACTTGATGATCGTTTGGTTTCAATTCTTGCACGAGTTGGATTTTGTAAGCACGTAAACCAAGATCCTTCCGCAAAATCTTCCATAAAGCGGATGGACTCATTCGGGTCTTCCTCAATGCTACGCTCTACAGCAGCTTCTTCTGTACGCACCGTACGGCGTCTCTGAACATGCTAGTTATCAATAAGAGTAAACGTGGTGCGAAAACGTTCAATGGTTAATCGAATTAACTGCTCTGATGGACGATTTTGTCGACGATAAAATGTACGTAGTGCGCGATACGTATTCCGCACAGAACCATTATTTTCGAAATAAAATTGCACTATTTGCAAGCGTTGTTCAGGCGTGAGTCTATTCATGATGAATTGCCAAACCAAACTGAGAATAAATCACTTGACAGCTGTTAAATCGGTCGCCATCTTGAATAGTACTGTCAACTTAAAGTTCTATACATCGTTCTATACATATATATATATATATATATATATATATATATATATATATATATATATATATATATATATATATATATATATATATATATATATATATATATGATGACACTATATTCCGGGATATCATCCGTTCGCTCGTTGAACTCCGACTGGAATCCTGCAAATCTTGCATCCGACTGGAATCCTGCAGACGTTTCGCCAAAATCTCACTTGGCATCTTCAATGCTCGCGTTCCGAAAACACTTCGAACACTGGGGAACTTCGGAACGCGAGCATTGAAGATGCCAAGTGAGATTTTGGCGAAACGTCTGCAGGATTCCAGTCGTAGGCGCCCTACAACATTTACACGTATGTATGAATACGCAACAGCTAAACTTTTTCATGTATTTCTCCTAAGTATCAAAAATATTGAAGGTAAATTTTGGATGATTTTAGTAAAAATATAATGAATTTGAATCTTTTTAGAACAACATTTCCTTTCTGTACCAAATTTTGTTTTAGGTATATATGTATTATTTTAGTTGTTGTTACTTCGATTATATAACCGTAAATAAAAAAATATTTTCAGTAGAAGGGAACATATGACATTACACCCCATCACTTTTTACCCTATCCGAGATTTGAATTAATAATATCGGACCCTTTATGGAAGATCCGTTGGTGATCTTTGCCCTGGATCTACTATCAACGTTGAGTCGCAGGGGAGATTAAATCGGGGAAATTAACTCGTTCTTCAGAAAGCTCAGCATTCACAGAAGTTATCGGAGAGTATTTAAGTTTTGGAATTAAGTATGTTCCTAATCTATACAAATCTAGGTCGCTTTTGAAATTAGTGAAATTGCCCTAGACTTCTGAAATATCGTTTTAAGGTTTTGAAGCCTGTGTTATTTTCAATTAATGTTATTTCAATCTACCCCAAATTGATTCATTAAAGTCACTAAACCTGTCAAAGAACCAGAGCTAGCCTCTAATTTCGTGAGTGCTATGGGTATCAAAGAATAATTTGTTTTTATAAATATTACATTTCTTTCACTGTTGGGTTAGAAAAAGGAATTCTTGCAATTATTAGAGCTGCAGAAGATCAGTCGTTTTGATCTTCGATTACTTTTTAGAAATACTTTTTTTACTTGATTAATTCAATTAAGTTACCAATGGAAACTAGTCTCTTATACATTCTTCCCACTTATTGATACCTTGAGACAAACAATCAACATGAAATAGGTTGAAATAAATTATTTTTAAATTTTGTGCTGTTTTATCGGTCATATAGGTTACAGCATCCGATAAAAGCATTACGAATTTTTGTGTCGGGACACTGTTGGGCAAAAAAAAAGTTGGTTAATGTTTTTTGAACCAATCTGGTTGCATTTAATTGGCTGTTTTTCCTAATTGTTTTATATGCAATTAAATATGATTTACCATTATTATCGGATCAAAGCGTCT